TTTGTAATGTGCATGATTGAGTCACTATGCAGTGTGTACTGGATGGGAGATCGCATTTTGTGTGCTGTGATGATGCTTAGGGAAGGAATGTAAATTGAGTTACAAAAAAAAAAGTTTCAGGAAAAAAAATACTTAGCTTTTGATTATTAAGATGACATCTAAAAACCAGGAAAAAACAATACTTTTAAAAACAGATTTTAAAAAATTCTGAAACCAGAAAGTTACAGAGTGGAGAGTGAGGGGGCTGCGTCTGGCTCCTGCTCTCACAGCCACTGCAGTACGTTGAGCTCCATAGAGACAGCGCCGGGGCAAGTGAGAGTCGGACGGGCACTGGGCAACTCTGCTTCGCAGAGGAAACGTACCTAAACATGGGCAAAGGAGATCCTAAGAAGCCAAGAGGCAAAATGTCATCATATGCATTCTTTGTGCAAACTTGCTGGGAGGAGCACAAGAAGCACCCAGATGCTTCAGTCAACTTCTCAGCTTTCTAAGAAGTGCTCAGAGAGGTGGAAGACCATGTCTGCTAAAGAGAAAGGAAAGTCTGAAGATATGGCAAAGGCAGACAAGGTCCATTATGAAAGAGAAATGAAAACCTACATCTTTCATAAAGGGGAAACAAAAAAGAAGTTCAAGGATCCCAATGCACCCAAGAGGCCTCCTTTGGCCTTTTTTTTCTTGTTCTGTGCTGAGTATAGCCCAAAAAATCAAAGGAGAACATCCTGGCCTATCCATTGGTGATGCTGCAAAGAAACTGGGAGAGATGTAGAGTAACACTGCTGCAGATGATAAACAACCTTATGAAAAGAAGGCTGCTAAGCTGAAGGAAAAATACGAAAAGGATGTGGCTGTAAACCGAGCCAGAGGAAAGCCTGATGCAGCAAAAAAGGGAACTGTTAAGGCTGAAAAGAGCAAGAAAAAAAGAGGAGGAGGAGGAAGACGAGGAAGATGAAGAAGATGCATCTTGTTGGTGCATAGCACAAATTAGTTATATATGGAGATGGTAGTTTTTTCATCTTCAGTTGTCTCCAATGCAGCTTATATGAAATAACTGTTGTTCTGTTAATGGAATACCACTCTGTAATTACAAAAAAAAAAAGTTACAGCTGTCTTGTTGATATTCTGAATGCTTCTAAGTAAATACAATTAGAAAAAAAAAATTCTGAAATCAAGTTAGCCCATGGCCAGCTGGTTAAAGTAGGCTAGATCTCACATGGTCAACTATAGACTGAAGTCCCAGAACACAAGTCTTGAGAAACATTCCAGGCATGTCTGCATGCATACCCAAATTCTCAAAAGAAAGGAGAAGTGAAGGAGAAGGGATGCAGTGTGAACATTCTCAAGAAAGCCGGGAAAGGTGGGTATTTTCTTATTTTCCTTGCCTCTGTCTGTCTTCTGTGTGCACATGGATCTTTTTTGGAGAAAAACTCTGGACTAGAAATGTATTTTTCACTGGTTAGGCTCCAACTCTGCAGAACTCAGTAATGAGAGTATGTGTACAAGTACAAGCTGTTGCCATCTATGCTAGCCCCTGCCCCTAATCCTGCAACCCCCCTCACAACAACAGAGAAAGCATTAAATGTTATAAAACAAAGTTTATTCTGCAATACTTTATCGTAATGAATTGCATTTCTTTGGTAAAAATAAACTTATAATCATTTTAATAATCAGAGATTAGATACAAAAACTAAACATTTGTAAGTTGTTTTTAATATGAGCAAAGACTGGCAACTGAGAAGTGGTTCACTTGTGACTGGTCATCTACTGGCAGTTATAATTCAAACTCAGGACAATTTTTAGGCTACATCAGAAAAAGGGATAAAGAAACAATAGTTTAATAACAAATTTCTTAAATCAGAAAGCATTCTTACACTTTCATTTTAAAAATAAATAATAGTTACAATGACTTGGCAATTACACATTTTTATACACTATATGACGGCAACATAATACTTTAAAATTAAGCACTTAGTTTAATAAATGTACAACAATTTTAAAAACATGTCTGATGATGGCACTGGCAGTTAGATGCAAAGAATGTGCTTAAAGAAAAAATTTCAGGTATAACATTAAAATATTCTATTTTGACTTTCAATAAATATTTTGACTATGTCATTTAACAATTCAAAGTAAACTTTATTTAAATCAAAGCTGACACATTTCAAACTAACAAAAACTATAAAAATATATGTAAACCAGAAAGCCTCAAAGTTTCCTAGTTAAATGCTATGGTCTTCACAAAAGGGTGTTGCTACTATAGTAAATTAAGACAATAGTCTTTACAGTTTTATGATGTATTCACATCTGTTGCTTAAATTGCTGGGGAAGGCCTCCTTCTGGTCTACCAAGACACATACATTTCCTCCTTAACACTTTCTCTAGCTTTGAATTTCTGCTAACAAGTATTTAACTCACCATCTAATATGAACCCTTTACATAATGCCTCAGAAAGTTGCAGAAGAAAAAAAAAAACATATATCCTAAACTTTACTATATACAAAAAAATCTTAAGTCATGCTGGCTATGAGGAAGAAAAGGGAGGTGATAAAATAGCTCTTCCATGAACACAAGTAATCCATTTTTTTCCTTTGAATTTTAAAAAGTAAAATACTAATTTAGTAATATATTGCACAAATAAATTTCAAAAACATATATTAAAAAACACTGATTCTATTAGCGAAGTGAAGGATGAAGATTAAAAACTGTCAGAACTTTTCCTAGGGATCTAAGGAATTGGTTAAACTGGAATTGGTTGCAACCAAATTTATGTTATTTTGATGAAAGGTGAATTATACGCTAGCTTAAATCACTGTTTTAAAATATTTAGGAAACTATGTAATCTCACTAGAGTTTCCAAGTTGTCTTTATTACAGTAAAATTTGTTATTAATATTTATTGGGAATACCATTTCCAGTCCATAGGAAATTCTGTATGAATTGGAATGGCTTTCCTTATGTGGCTGTTACTAGCCATGTTTCTATTCCAACACACCTGAGAAATGAGATCATTATCTCTATGAACATAATGATAAGGAGACTATAATTGAAAAGGTTTTTTTCTTTGAAAAATAACTGCCTTGGTATATTAGCAAATGTGATGCACCAAATTCTGTACAAGAATTAAGTGTAAAATATTATGTAATTTCTCCCCATTAGCTTTTGGTTCACAGATGTTTACTGTCCTTGCTAGTGAGGAATGTAACTTAAACACTTAAATTTTGGGGAAAAGTGTATGAAAGAAGAAAATCAAAGGATTTAAAGAATTAATGTTAAGTGTATTAACCTATGGAGGTACCTATTAGAGCTGGGAATAACTCTTTGCCTCCTTATCATAGATCATTTTCCTTTACTTATAAAGAGTAATTACCTAATGGACAAGAATCAGGAAGAACATTTGTGGTACAGATTTCAGTAGAACAAAATAAACTGGAACCAGATAACTGAAACACTGTTAACTAAGGTCTATCCACAGAACTGTGGTAAACAGCTTTAAAATAATGTATTATTAAAATATCTGTAATTAACATTTATACTGTGGTAAAAGCATTTTTGGAGGTGTTTTAGTCACTGTTTTTAGTACAGTATTAGCTTGGTTTGGCTATTTTCTGTAGATGTGACATGTATGAAAAAGAAAAAATTCTGAATACCTCATCCTGCATGCTTAAGGGTTATTTTTCATTATAACAAATTTAAAAAGTTACTATATTTCAACTGCACCAATTCTATCCAGGTTTAATCACAATTAGAATGGAAAAGGACCTAGAACATTAATGCTGTTATCCCTGGCTTCTTAAAGTCTTGTCATCTAAAAAATATGTTTGTATTATCATTGTTCTCATTTGACAATTTTGCCCAAATAAAATTTAGAAGTTAAAATAAAAATATTTGTCTCTTGAAAAGAAAATCCAAGTCAATGCTTTATAATCATAGAAACAGCTGAAAGCAGCAAATAAACACCATGAGACTAGCTGTGTGTATATGTGTATGTACATATATATGTTGTCAAAAAAATGAAAAAACAAGCTCATTGTCTATGACATAGGATGTAGCATGAGATCATATTCAACTTTTGGAACGTTGCTTCACCACCATTAAAAAATATATATATAATGAATAGGTTTAGTTTGTTAGTATCCCATGTTCTTTCTGAATAATATAGTCAAACTATACAAATGATATTATGAAAAATTATTTCACATGGGCAGATTTGTTCAAATACTTAAAATACCTTAGTCGATATATTTTTGGAACAGTAAATAATAAAATAATCTAGAATAGATTAATGGCACAAATAGGTATTACACTGCCTCAAGAGTGTATTGCAAAAGATCTAATTTTATACAAATTTTGAAATCTATGAAGGTATTTTGCCTCTGCAATTCTGTTAAATCTTTAAAAATTTTATTTGGCATATGTACACATTTGATTCCTGCAAAGCTTGGACAGAGTTTTTCCCCTAAATGACCTACTTTTATATATGATGACCTAAGTATTATATACTTAGAATGTTTTATCACACTCCTTTTCTACGATATTTCTTAGAATGTAGTATATTTAGTAAATAAACTAAAGATTCTCTTATTGCAAAAATGTGTGAAAATGAGTGTTCTTCCATAACACACTCTATGGCTATATCCTCTCATTGGATCATTTCTATTGAACAAAGACAGCTAATGGTTGTTACAAATGGTTGCAAAGCACTTTGAGCTAATAAAATGCAATACAGCAATATCTGTGAAGCAAAAACATATCTAAGATACCACTGTAATAGGAAATGGAGTGTTCTTAGATGAAACCGCACCACAAAATTGCCTTTTCTAATTGTTAGAATTCTTTGTTATATTCTCTACTTATGTAATCAAAAGGAACTTTCTAGACATCTAGGCTCTTCTCTGATTGATATTTGACTTTACTCATGCCACACACACAAAAAAAAAAATAGAAAAATTAAAAAACAAAAATGAAGAAAAATAAAAAATAAAAATCTTATCCTATTGAATTGTGTATCAGAAGAGGAGTATATGAGAAAAACATAAGTAAATTTTTTAACTGGATCAGTAACTATTGTTAATTATAGATTAGAAAATAAAAATGAAAAAATGTTATAGAACTGCCAAATCTTACATTTTGACATATTAACAGAAGAAAAGATTTTTCCTACAAGTTTAAGACAGAGGCTGGGATTTTCTTATATAAAATTTTCTAAATCTCAGAGACACTTATCACAAAAATTATACTTTCAGGACTTCACATCATATATTTATGATTGGGCATGATCTTAACAGCAATTGTTTAATAAAATTAAAAAAAAAAACACAAAAATCTTCTAAAAGAAACAAGAAATTAGCACCCCTCCCTCACCCTAATACTAATAAAGTCCATTATGGCTTTGATATCCCTTATAAAGAATTAAGGAGAAGAATATTGCCACATTTTAAAATTGTTTCACACTAACAAATATTTCTATTTTTTCCGCTGCTTTTGATTTTGTATCTTTGCAGTACTTATTAGGGAACCTAAACATGTACGAATTCCAGCAAGGTGGAGCAGAGAGCCAGCTGCTTCTTTGAGCTCCTCATCGATTTCTTGACATGACGTTTTTCGCATCTTTTTGCCTGGCTGCCTTTTGCCAGAGGCATCCGCACAAGCCTGTGAAGCATAGCTACTGTCTCCAAGAGGATCATCTTCGTAATCAATGTCTGTATCTTCTTCACTATGGAATCCTTCACTGCCATCACTTCCTACATGGCTGCTCTTTGGGATAAATTCATACACCTCATCCACAGAAGACAAGGAAGAAATGCTAGACCTGGATGCACAACGCTGGGCTGCCATGCTACTTGCACTGTAATTGTGATCTTCTTTTGGATCAATGCTGGTGGCTAAAGTATCACTCTGTTGTAATCGTATAGCACTGGGATGATTGAAAGCATTGCCATAACTCCTTTTTTTTTGCAATGCTGTTTTAAGTGAAAGAGGCTTCTCACCTGTAGAAAATAAAACTTCCATCAACAGGCCAAATGCATCTGATTGCAAAAACATATCATTTAAAGTTACTGTATCACTTCTGAATAGAAAACATTTTAGATTAGCAGTATTTTGCAGATTTCTTAAAAATCGAGATCATATTCTGTAGGCATTCATCACATCTTTAAACCATTTAACAACATGTCTTGACCTTTTCATGTGACACACAATTATTCTGAACTGCTTCCACAGACTACCTCATTGAAATGAGTGTACCACTGTTCAGTTAACCATTTCCTTGTTGATATTTAGGTTATTCCCAATTTTTCACTAGCACATATAATGCTGCAATGATGATCCTTCTAGATGCCTTTTCTCACACATATGCAAATAATTTTCTAGAAAAGATACCAAGAAACAGAATTGCTAAGTAAAAGGATATAAACATTTTCAAGTATAATTGATATTCCCAAACTGCCCTCCAAAATTGTTGTACCAATTTACACCTGAGTATGATGAAACCTACCTGAATACTTAACACCTAAGGTTACCAATCATTTTAATTTTTGATAACCTTGTGGACAGTTTCTCAATTTTGTTTCATTTTGCATTTCCCTTATTTCTAGAGAATTTATACATCTTTTCACATGTGTATTAGTCATCTATATTTCCTCTTCTGATATCCATCTATTCATATATTTTACTGACTTTTGTGTAGACCTATTTTCTTATTTTTTATCTGTACATCTTTTCATATATGGACTCAATATGAATCTTTTGTCTGTTATACACAGTTTAAAAAAAGTGTTCTCTCAGATTTTTGTTACTTTTTTTAAAGAAATCTTTTGTTGTCAAAATTCTAAAATTTTTTATTTTATTAAATTTGCACATAGTTTCCTTTGGGGATTTTGCATTTTAAAGAAAGTTTTTCCTATTCTAAATGATAAATAGACTTTCCTATTTTTTTATTTAAAGCTTTCATTTTTACTTTCAGCCCTTCAGACTTTTCTAAATATGCTATTTATTTCTCCATTTCTTGGTCAACGTAAGAAAAATCTCTCACAGCATTATCTTCAATCTCATGATTGTGTGCATAAATTAATGGAAATACAATTTCTCACATAAATTAGTAGAAATATCAAAAAACAGAAACTAAGTTACTCAGATTAAAATGCAATTTAGTTGGAAAGAAGTAATTTTGCATATAACAAGTATTTTATATTCCAAATTAAGTTTGAAAAAGCACTCACAAAAATGTATTTTACGAAGAAAAGCATGAATGCTTACATTCTAAAATTCCTTGTTCTATAGAAGTCTTTAAAAGCATCATTGCAGTGGCAGCATCGATATCAGATTCTGAAAAGGGAAAAAGAATGGTAATATTAATGCTCTTTATAAAAGAGAGGCCCTTATAAGTACAGTTGTCCTTCAGTATCTGCGCGGCGGGGGTATTGGCTCCACAATAGAGCTTGGAACTTCAGATACTAAAATCCAAAGATGCTCATCTCAAGTCCCTTATATTAAATGGTGTAGTATCTGCACATAACCCACATATATGTTCCCATATTCTTCAAATCATCTCTACATTACTTATAATACCTAATACAATGTAAATGCCATGTAAATAGTCATTATACTGTATTGTTTGGGGAATATGACAAGAAAAAAAAGTCTATGCATGTTCAGTAGAGGCAACCATCATAGATTTAACTACATAGTACATGTCAACAACAAGGAAAAGCCTACTTTCTTTTTTCTTCCACTATTCTCTGTATAACTCTAGTCAACCTTCTTCAATTAAATGGCCTGTTTTCTGAGAGCAAGGCCTGAGTCTCTCATCTCTGCATATCCCAACGCACCTATTTACTACAGTGCCTACCATACACTATAGGAGCTCAATTATTAATTGACAGGAATGCTTAATTCATTTGCTGTTTTTAAAACTTCTCCCCTGAAATAATATAGTGAAGAACATATTTCCACTATAGTGTATGTATACATTCTAATGTAATCAAATATAAACCTTAAATTTTTGTGATATTTTAATGTTTTTTCCTTAAAATTCTTAGGAAAATTTTGTATCTTTCCAGGAGAGATCTGCAGTTGTCTCAACCTAGAATAGCAACCAACCTTCCCATCAAGTTAACTACTATTAGGGGAATAGGTCTAAGACTCTTGAGGGTAGGGATGGAAGGAAGTAAGGTGTTAGCAATACTGAGGAGATTATGTGCAGTAAGTATAAATGATCAGAAAAAGAAAGAGTACCTATTGCTCTATTTATAAAAACTGCAGATGAAACTAGCAGAAGAAACTTGGAGAGCGTTTGTTCCCCAAAAGAAGCAGTAGATTTAGGAACAAATGAATGAAAGCAAGAAAAGATTTTAAGCAAGTGCCAAATTCATAAAGAAAATGTTCTCAAAATGTATACATGAACTGAGCTTGAGAGAATAAGGGCCTGAACTTATTGAGGTTATAGAAAGACAAAAGAGTTTCAGCAATATCTAACAGTATGAAGAAACCACATTTATTCACACAGGTTAACAGGAAAATGGATACTTACCTTGTTTTAAGATAGAACATTATCTGAAATAAATTCCCTATCCACTTAACTTCTTTGAAGAATTCTCTAAAGCTTTTCCATTCCTTCCTCCCTTTTTACAGACATCAGCACACTACTACTAATGCTCAGATTAGCATGCATGGTTCCAAAGAGCCTTAAGTTAAGGCTGGTTACAAAGAAAGCCTTAAGTTAAAAAATTTCTATTTTCTATTTTTCTTTCTTTTCTTCCTTCCTTCCTTTTTCTTTCTTCCTTTCTCTCTCTCTCTTTTTTTTTTAAGATTTATTTTGCCATAGGGTACATGCGCTTGCCGGAGAGAGGCCAGAGATAAGAAAAGTGAGAAATCACTTCCCAGTGGGGACAGCCATACTACAATCCCTTTTCTATTCTCCTCTAGGAATTGTGGGTTTACACACACATGTCTGGCACATTTTTCAGGCCTCTGGGTCCAAAATGCAAACCTGGAGTTGGCCATGTGGGATCTATTGACTTAACCCCCATGCCACATGCTGGACCCTGAAATTTTCTATTTCTATAAGTCATGCAAATATCTCTAGGCTCCAAAGCAACAAAGCTAAAAAAAGTTATTTCAATACACTGCTACTCTTTTTTGGAGAGGTTTTCTTTTTGTTTTTTTTTTTTGTTTGTTTGTTTGTTTTTTGCTATAGGGCACACACGCTCACCAGACAGAGAGTGACAGAGAGACAGAAAGCGAGAAATCACCTCCCCAGGGAATATGGCCATGCCGCAATCCCTTCTCCTCCTTTCTCCTCTCGGGATCTTGGGCATGCACGCACACGTGCCCGGCGTGAGTTTTAAGCCGCAGGGTCTGGGATGCAAACCACGGTCGACTACATGGGAGTCCAGCAACATAACCATTATGCTAACTGCTGGTCCCTACACAGCTACTCTTCAACATGAACTATGAGCAAAAAACTCCCACTAATCCAGGTTTTTTAAATGCTCATAATACAAAATTGTTGACAAGTCAAATTACTGCCTTCTTAAAAGTTCTTCACATTTAAATAACCTATAAAATAAATTTCTGATCTATATTCTAATCCAAGGGATGGAAAACTTATTTGGTTAAGGGTTAGAAAGTAAATATTTTCAACAGGCAAAACCAAAGATACAATGTGAGGTTTCTGTTACTACTTCTTAACTGTGCTATTGTAATCGATTTTCAGATCTTGAAATACTATTGTTATTTTTTTCCACAACCATTTAAAAAATGGAAAACTATCTTTAGCTCATGGGCCACAAAGTAACAGGTTGATAGCCAGATATGACCATGTGCCATAGTTTGCCAACTCCTACTCTAGTCTAATCAACTTAAAAACTGCATTAATGATATTTTCAAAGAAAAATACATTTAAAAGTAAATGGTAAAAAAGGATATAAAATCATGTGCAGGGCTGGCTCTGCAGTCCAGTGGTTAAAGGACCCATAGCCCACATGGCTGTGGCTCAAATCCTGGCCTCGGTGACTTAAAAAACATGCCAGGTACATGTGCATATCTAAAATCCTGACAGAATAGAGAAGGGATTGAGGTGAGATCACATCTCACTGAGGGGTCCTTTCTCCCTTTCCCTTCCTGTCTGTTGCCCTGTCTCCCTCTGGCAAGCACACATGCTCTCTGGCAATTAAAATATACAGACACACTTACATAGTCTAGTATTTGGAGGAAAAAAATATGTATATATATGTATGCATAAATACATATATGTACAAATACAATGTATCTACTCACATATATGGCATAAAAAAAGGGACCAAAGCAATTATATCAAAATGTTAACAATAGAATAAAGAGTAACTTTTATTATAAATGTTTTTATTTCCGAATCTCCTATAATGAACATACAATACTTTTAAAATTAGAAAAAAAGTTCATTAAAAAAGCCCTGAAAGCAATTGTGGATGCCAGGGACAATGTGGGAGGAGGATGGGTCATAACAGAGGGAGGGGGAGGGGGAATCTAGGATGGGAAAACAAAAGGCAAGGTATGCAGGACACAAGAATTGGGAAATTATTTGCTGAGAACATATATGTTGACGTGCTTGATTGAGCCAATGCACAGTGTATTTTGGATGGAAAATTCATTTGTGTGTTGTGATGGAAAAAAATTATAATAAAAAATAAACTATAAAAAAAAAAGAGAGAAGAGGATAGAGAAAGATAACAAGTGAACAATAGAGAGGATGTTAGTGAGAAACAGATATGGTTTATTATCTGTTGATGATGACGTGTATAGTATTCTCAACTGGACTGGTCTGGGAAGTATTTCATGATGGGTGAAGTCTTTTAACAAGCAAAATGAGAAATAGTGATTGACTGTTTTAAAAAATTATAATAATGATAATTATTGGGAAATGCATGGAAAAGACATTGAATGATAAAGCGGGGAGATCGATGCCTCTGTATTGACTGACATGCATGGCATTCCCTTTTGAAAAAGCAATGGAAGTCAATGTAAAGTTATATGTAATCCAATGTAATATAAAGAAGATTATGATGATAAAAAAAAAAAAAAAAAAGCCCTGAAAGTATGACCTGAGTTTTGAGAATTTAAAATAATGATCTTCCTTACCTTTAAGGGTTCGCACCTGGTTCTGCTTGAGTACACAGCTTAAGTAGTGAGGTGATAGAGAATCACTAAAAAATAATGAAAAATGTGCTTACGGAAAAGTTTATTTTAATTTTTATTTACTTAGTCACAAATACAGCTAATCTGTACCATAAAAAAAAAAAAACCACCTTTTTAAATCTAGTTTTCTTTGTTGATCATACAAAGGTTTAGAAAAAGCAGAGAGCAAAAGGGTCAAGATTAAAACACAACAATTTGAATGATTTTAGGCAAAATAATCTCTTAATTTCTTCATTTGTAAAAAAGGACCAATTAAATCTTCCACATAGGGCAATTAAGAGAGTTAAATAAAGAATAATACATCTAAAACACCTAGACCTGGAATAGCAGGTGACATGATGGTTAAGGCACTGGATCCCATATGGCCTACTCCACAGGTTCAAGTTCAAGACCCAGTAGCCTGAAACACATGTGTGTATGTCTTCCTCTCTCTCTAGTGAGCACATATGCCCATGGCAAAGAATCTAAAAAATAAGATAAAACATTTGGAATAATAAAAATTATACATTCATAGTTCTTTGGTTTCATACTGGATGTTTAAGTTTGATACAATATTAATATAGTAGGGTTAGCACAAATAAAAGCATTTATCAAAATAAGTATTTAAGAAAAGACTGGATGTAATGATGTCAAAGAGATAAGTTCTTAATTTTATTAATAAATGTCAACACCAAATTAAACTTTCTATATTCATGAAAAGATATCAAACTTAAAAAAATTATTTAATTTTTATTTATTATTATCATTATTTTATTTTGCTATGGAGTACATGTGCTAAGAGAGAGAAAGCAAGCACGGGCACCAGCACCATCAGGTCCGGGACTTGAACCACAGTTGGTAATGTCATGTGGGAATCCATCACTTTAACCACCATGCCACCTGCTGGCCCTCCATTCTATTCTTTATACTACAAATTATAACATGAGTGGGCTACAAAGAAGTATGTCAGATGGAACGGTTAAAGTTATTTAGCCAAACAAAAAGGGGAAAATGTTTTATTTTTTATTAAGATTTTAAAATCAAAGACTATAACCTTTGTTGTCTTATCATCTTTTGTTAAGAATATAAAATTGCCTTTGTTTAACATCGAAACTTATAAGGCTAAAAATATAAACATGAAAATGTAACATATCAAAGGTACTATAAAATGTATTTGTGACGGTTTACAAAAAAACAGTGCCAATTCTTTCATCTTTAATTAAGAAAAAGAAAACCACATACTAAATAAAATGCATAAATGAACATAAACAGAATGTACCATTAGTTTCTAAATAATTATTATTGGGTTGTCAGAAAAGTCATGGTGCATTTTTGCATAGAAAAAATATGTCATAGCTTTTCTGACAACACAATATTTAATTAGAACACCTCACTTCAATTCCTAAATGGGGATACAAAATCTGAAAACTTCCAAGTTTCATTTCTCTCTGTGTGTGTGTCTTTTTAAATTTGCCATGGGGTATATGTACTCACTGGAGACAGAGGCAGAGACAGAGAGAAAAAGAGAACATACCCTCCATGGGGAATGGTCACGCCATAATCACTTCTCATCCATTTTTCCCTCCTTTCAGAATTTTAGGTACACAAGTGCGTAGCTGCCATGTTTTTCAAGCCACTAGGTCCAGGATTCCAACCATGTAATTGGCCATGTGGGATCCAGACATCTTAACCACCAGACCACAGGATAGCCCAGTTTTCATTTTTAAGGCTAACCCACTCAGTTGTTCTTTTTCCAATAATCCATCTAATATATGAATATGATACACAAGCTTAAAATCGCAATGAATATATATATATTAACATTACTAGTATTTGAACTTTAGCCTTACTAGTTTTCTACTGTATTTCAGCTAAGACATTCCTCTCTGAGTTATCTATCAATAGTACTTTAAGAACTCAAATTGGGACCAGCAGTTAGTGTAATGGCTATGTCACTGGACTCCCATGTAGTCAACAGTGTTTTGACTCCTGGACCCAGAGGTTTAAACTCAAGCCGGGCGCGTGTGTGTGCATGCCCAAGATCCTGAAAGGAGGAAAAGGGACTGTGGTGTGGCCATCCCCACCAGGGGTGATTTCTCACTACTGTCTCTCTGTCTGGCGAGCACACATTGCCCGTACGAAAAAACCTCTAAAAAAAAAAAAAAAAAAAAAAAGAATTCAAATTAACTACTATATAAATGTTGATTATTGCAGTTGAGAGGTCATTATAACGTTCTCCTGACTTTTTCACGTTTGAAAATTTCCACTTACTAATTTATTCAAGAGCTTTAAATTTTTAAAAAAGTTAAACATTACAAGTATAAACATTAAAAGTACCCTTTAAAATCTAGTATTATTTTCAACTCAAATGAATGTACATAATAGAATTTTAAAAGATTCTGAAGACTTCTTTAGGAAAAGGAAACAAAACCAGATTTAAGGAGGTCATATCTTCAGATTTAACTTAAAGTAAGAAAGCTAGATCAATAAGAGTCACTGGTTTTGAAAACAAAAGCCAAGGGAAATTATTAAGAAATACCAAATTACATTTACCAAACAAAACTAAACCAACAAAAAGATCTTCAAGCATTTATTTTACTTGGCAAACATCTTAAAATTTTAGCCTCGTGGGGCCGGTAGGTGGCATGGTGGTTAAGGACATTGGATTCCCACATGGCAGACCAGTTTGAGTCCTGGACCTGGGGGCTTGCTTTCTCACTTTCCCTTTCCCTCTTTCTGTCTCTGTCTGATCAAATTGAAAAATAATAATAACAAAAGGAATTAAATAAATAATTCTTTAAAAAATTTTTTAGCCTTGTACATAATTTAAAAAATAAATTTTAAGAGATCTTTGCCATAGGATAAGGTACATGAGTTCACTGGAGAGAGAGAAACCGAGACAGAGTGACAGGGAAAGTGAGAAATCAGCCCCCGGGGTGATGGCTATGCCATAATCCCTTCTCCTCCATTTTCCTTCTGGGATCGTGGGCATGCATGCACATGCGTGTACTGTGATTTTTAATCCAACAGGTCCGGGACTGGAACCACAGTCATCCATGTGGGAAATGTAACCACTATGCCATGTGCGGGCCCCCATAATTTTAAAATGTTCAAAGTGCTATAAAAGAGAGGCCAGCAGGTCGCATGGCGGTAAAAGTGCTGGATCCTACATGGGTGACTACAAGTCCCAGATCTGACAGCTTGAAAACACACTGGGTCCTTTTAGCTGAAACCGCCATCTTCCAGTAGTTCAACAAAATAATGAACACAAAGAGAAGAGGCACCCAATATGTCTTCTAGGCCTTTTAGAAAACATGGAGTGGGAGCCAGCAGGGTGGCGTAGTGATTAAGGGCACTAGACTCCCACATGGTCGACTGTGGTTTGAGTCCCGGACCTGGCAACTTGCTTTCTCACACCCCTCCACCCCCGTTCCTCCCTGCTCAAATTATAATATAAATAAATAAAGTTAAATAAAATAATTCTTTTTTTTAAAGAGGTTTTTGCTATAGGGCACGTATGCTCGCCAGAAAGACAGAGAGACAGAGAGACAGAAAGCAAGAAATCAGCCCCCCCCCAGAGGAATGGCCACGCTGCAATCCCTTCTCCATTCTCCTCCCGGGATCTTGGGCACACACGCACACGTGCCCGGTGTGAGTTTAAGCCACTGGGTCTGGGACTCGAACCATGATCAACTACATGAGAGTCAAGAGACATAGCCATTATGCTAACTGCTGGTCCCAATAAAATAATTCTTTTTTTAAAAAAAGAAAGAAAACATGGAGTGGTTCTCTTGGCAACATATACATGAATCTACAAGAAAGGTGATATTTAGGCATCAAAGGAATGGGTACTGTTGAAAAAGGAATGCCCCACAAATGTTACCATGGCAAAACTGGAAATGTACAATGTTACCCAGCATGCTGTTGGCATAGAACTACCATATGATCCAATAATTCCACTTCTGGGTATCTACCCAGAAGATAGAACACTCAGTTGGAAAAGTGCTTGCACATCTATATTTATTGTGGCATTATTCACAATTGCTAAGACATAGAACCAACCCAGATGTCTACAAACAAATGAATGGATTGAAAAAGTGTGGCATATATACTCTACCAAATATTACTCAGCCATAAAAAACAAGAGCCTAGCATTTGGTAGAAAGTGGACAAATATGAAAGATTTACTGTGGAGTGAAGCAAGCCAGACTATGAAAGAGAGATATTGTATGTCTCCACTTAATATATACTTTCTGCACTCTATGGCAGAAACCAAAAGCTTTGCAGATATAAACTATGAAAAATAATTATGGATACTGGAAACACTGTAGGAAGAAGGTAGGAGAAGGTAGAGAGTGTGAGGAAAGAAATTAAGGAGAAAAATAGAGAGGCAAGACATTTATAGGATAAAAAAATGGATTATTATCTGTTGATGATAATGTGTATAATATCATCAATTTTACTGGTATGAAGTGTACTCATGTTGGATAAATTCAATTTACAAGCTAAGTGATGTATAGTGATTGAATGTATAAAGTAAATTAAAATCAAAAACAAACAAGGGCAATAGTCTTGCCAAGAGAATTAATGTGTGTATTGAGTATATTAAGCATCCTAAGAGCAGAGATACCTTCCTAAAATATATGATAGAAAATAATCAGAAAAAGAAGGAAACCAAAGAGAAAAGTTACCTGGGTTTAAGTGAAGCACCAGCCTGCTCTGCCCAGAGAAGCATACTTTGTGAGACCTATGGAGAGGAGCCTGAGCTTCTGGAAACTATTCCCTATGAATTCATGGCATGATGGGTGTTAAAAATAAACTATGGTCTATAAAAAGGCTTTTCCTAATTGAGTAGAATTGTGTTTCCTCCCCTAAAACAAATTTTAATTGGGCTCTAATTCATTTTGTAGTATCTTTACTCAAATTTAGTATTTTTTAGCTGAAAAATGTTAGGTGGCTTATGCAACCAATAAAACTCGGCTGGCTAGAAAACAGAATAAACAAAAAAGAAATACACACTGGTCATGTGTTCCCAAAATCCCAAGAGGAGAATGGAGGAGAAGGGACCCTGGTGTGGCCAACCCCTTGGAGAGTGATTTCTCACTGTCCCTCTATCTCTATTTGACTCTCTCTGGTAAGTGTATGTGCCCTGTGGGGGAAAAAAAAGAAGTGCTACAGGGAACCAGCAGTTAGCGTAATGGCTATGTCGCTGGATTCCCACGTCGGGCGCGTGTGCGTGCACGCCCAGGATCCCGAAAGGAGAGTGGAGGAGAAGGGACTGTGGCATGACCATCCCCCCTGGGGGGTGATTTCTCGCTTTCTGTCTCTATGTCTCTCTCTGTCTGGCGAGCGCACGCGCCCTATAGCGAAAACCTCTCAAAAAAAAAATAAATAAAGTGCTACAAAACAGAAAAGAACTTAGAATAGAAAAAAAAAAGCATTATAAAAATGTTACAATAACAAACTATTCATTGTTTTATTTAAAAAATTTTAATATACCTTTAATTTCCCATATCTTTAAATCAATATTGGCATTGCAGACAATTAAAATGAATTAGCCTTTTTTGTGGCTGAAGTCATATTACCATTTTCTTTAGAGTTTGGTTTTAACATATTACCATTTTCTTTAGAGTTTGGTTTTAACATATTCAATATGACTACAGTTTTCAGAATTTGCATGTTCTAGATCATAAATTAGACTGTAAGCAAAAGTGCTATTACCTTGTCCATAAACATTTCTCTACAAACAAAAAGAAAAACCCTACAATTTTGTTAAGTTTCTCCATCTTATATAATGATTTATGCTTTGTTTTGTTTTTGCATAGGGCGTGTGTGTTCACCAAAAAGAGAAAGAGAAAGAGAGAGGGAAAGTGAGAAATCACCCCCCCACATAGGGGATGGCCATGCACAATCTTTTCTCCTCCTGGAGTTTTGGCATGCACACTCATACGTCCAGCCTGATTTTCAATATGTTGGGTCCAGGACTCAAACCACGGTTGGACATGAGGGAATCTAGCACTTTAACCACCATGCCACCCACTTGCCCTACAATGATATGTTTTCTACTTACTTGAGGATGCATGGGCTTGCCAGAAAGAGAAGAGACAGAAGGAGAAAGCAAATCCTCATGGAGTATGATCATGCTATAATCTCTTTTTCCTCATTTTTTTCATCCTGTTTCAGATTTGGGGCAGAAATGCACACACATCTGGCATGTGTTTCATGCCACAGAAGCTGGGATTCAAACTGCAGTTAGCTATGTAAAATCTGGCTCCTTTAACTACTTAGCTATTGGGTAAGCAGCACAATGAAATCTTATGAATCACCACTGATCCTTACCTTTGTGGAGATGCAGGAGGTGTGTAGCTTAATGCTGAGGAAGATGGTTGCTTCTTCAGTGCCTGGATAAGATTGGGTTTATATTCTGGATCAACACACCACAAGGAACCTTTTCCATTAACCTAGAATAAAATATACCATAACTAATAACCTGGAACTTTTATACATATACTATCAGTGTCTGAATGGTTGAAAGTCACCATGTGCTATACAAAACTTGCTTTAACTCGCAAGATCAATAAGGAGAGAACTGTTGCTGAGTTCTGGTTTCACATTACATCTTTTCTATTTGAAAAAACTCTAAATATGCATTACAGTTTATAAGCACATTAACAGTTATTTAGATAATAAAACTGTTCCCCATTTTTTAAAAAAAAATTATTTAACTTTATTTATTTTTTTAATTTATTTTCATTTGACCAGAAAGGGGCAGTGGAGAATGAGAAAGCAAGCCGCCAGGCCAGAGATTTAAACCACGGTCGGCCATGTGGGAGGCACGCACCCTTATCCACTATGCTACTTGCCAGTCCCAATTATTCTTTTTCACTTGTATAAAATCCTGTATGATGTGAACTACTACGATTTCCAGTCTTTCCATTTCCCAAACTCATTTTCAAGGTAATATTAGTCTATTACCAAGACTTTTTTTAATCTGACTATCATGTCAAGATTTTAATAGCAGAATGGCACACTGAGACAACACTGATTCAGGGGTCAGCAGGTGGCATGGTGGTTAAAGGGCTGGATTCCCACATGGCCAACTGCAGTTTGAATCCCAGACCTGGCAGCTTGCAAATCACAATAAAATAGATAGATAGATAAATAAACATTGGGGGAAGAAATAATACTGTTCCAAAGGTTTAAAATTGGAGGCCCCTTGGCCAGCCATGTAGCCTAGTGGTCCAGGAAGTCAAATCCCACATGGTCAACCATGTGGTTCAAATCCTGGCCCAGTGACTTGAAAAATACCCCAAATAAATGTGTGTGTACATGCCCCAAGCCCCTACAGATGAAGAAATGTAGAAGGGACTGTAACATGATTATGCCCCATTGAGGGGTGCTTTCTTCCTCCCCTCAACCCTCATCTGTATCTGGCAAGTGCATGCACCCTCTGGCAATTTAAAAATAAAATAAACTTAAAAAATAAAACCAGAGGTACTAATCATTGTTGATTGACGGGGTGATATTAGACAAATCCTTTCATCTCAGAGTCAGTACTCTCATTCACATTTTACTCACAAAATAACCCAAACAAAGAAGAAAAAAAAATTCAAGCCACTTTGCGGAGTTATAATAAGATTCAAATAAGGTGATTTATATGCAAGCAACACAGAACTGCAGAGTAAGTGAATACTAAAGAGTTATTCTGAAATGGCTTATAGTAAGGGTTGGTTTATTTATTGTGGTTGGATAATAGTATATTCCTACCCCTTTACTTCTAAAAGATGAGGAAGCTTTTACAACTAAAGCAGTAAGACACTCTCCCCACAGCTCTACGCCCCTGAAGCCCCACTGCCCCACGTCCTGACTTCGGCAACAGCATGCTGGGCATGATCAAGAACTCGCTGTTTGGGAGCATAGAGACTGGCCCTGGAAGGTCCTGAGCAAAGGGGAGAAGGAAGAAGCCTCCTATGAGGAAAGAGCCTGTGAAGGACGCAAGTCTGCCATAGTGGAAGTGACAGATAAGCCTGTGGATAAGGCTCTGTGCAAAGCAATGCCCAAGGTCATGAAGTACATGGGGGGCACACTGACAAAGGAATTGGGTTATGGATGACAGTCTTTATTTCCTTTGCAGTGTTCCCCAGTGAAGACGGCTCCCTTCAGAAGACACTGAAAGTCTTGGTTCCAGATTCCAAACCAATTTCAAAGCAACCCTCTGAATCCCAGTGACCAAAGCATCAAGATTGAGGAGCGAGGGAACCAGCAGTTAGCGTAATGGCTATGTCGCTGGACTCCCACGTAGTCAACCGCGGTTCATGTCCCGGACCCGGTGGCTTAAAACTCACGCCAGGTGCGTGTGCGTGCGTGCCCAAGATCCCGAGAGGAGAATGGAGGAGAAGGGATTGCGGCGTGACCATACCCCCTGGGGTGTGATTTCTCGCTTTCTGTCTCTCTGTCTCTGTCTGGCGAGCGCACGTGCCCTATAGCGAAAACTTCTCCAAAAAAAAAGATTGAGGAGCGAGAGAGCATCACAGTCTAATCTATGCAGTTTGGTGATTATGTCAAGGAGGCAGACTACGTAACTCACCGAGGGCACAGCCACCTACAAGAATGATGTCTACTTCTGCACAGGTATGACCCTCCCATGAAGCCCTACGGGCATTGCAATGAGATCTGGCTGATAAAGACATGAGTGACTCACTAAGCCAAGAACTTCCCTGGCCAAAAGCATCTTTCCCATTGAGCTAGAAAGTTCTATGGCAGACCAGAAAAATGCTAGCAGCATTTTCCCAGCTACCAGGATCACTAAAAACTGATGTTTCTAATTTATTGATTTTGTATTTTTGTTATTGGGGTAAAGATGTGATTTTTAGTATGATCTTTCACTTGTGATTCTTACAAGAGCTTTGTCTAAAAAAGAAACTAAAAATAAAATCTTAGACTTACACACACACACACACACACACACACACAAAGAAAAAAACTAAAGCAATAAAACAAAAATCAATTAATTCTGAATAAAAGACAAAAGTTAGGTGGTAAAGAATAGGCGATTGGGACCAGAAGTTGGCGTAATGGCTATGTCGCTGGACTCCCATGTAGTTGACCGTGGTTTAAACACACATGCGTGCCCAAGATCCTGAGAGGAAAATGGAGGAGAAGGAACTGTGGTGTGGCTATCCCCCCTGGGGGGGGTATTCTTTGCTTTCTGTCTCTTTGCCTCTCTCTTTCTGGAGAGTGCATGCACCCTATAGCAAAAGTCTCTCAAAAAAACAAAAACAAAAACAGGAGATCAAATAAATTTAGATGGAGGGGAAAAAAAAAAACAAAAAACAAAAAAACAAAAAAACCTCTTGGTGTGACCAGCAGATGGCATAATGGTTATATCACTGGACTCCCACGTAGTTGACCACAATTTGAGTACCGGACCCAGTGGCTTAAAAACTCACACCAGGAGCATGTGCATGTGTGCCTAAAATCCCAAGAGGAGACTGGAGAAGAAGGGACTACAGAGTGGCCATCCCCAGTGATTTCTCACTTTCTCTCTGTCTCTCTGGTGTGAGCGCACATGTCCTATAATAAAAATCTCAACAAAACAAAATAAAAACAAATAAATAGAAAGTGAAAGGGAGTTCCTAACAATCTAGCAACTTGAATATGTAGGAAAAGAAAAACTGGACCAGCAAGTGTCATGGTGGTTAAGGTGTTAGATCCCACATGGCTAACTCCACAGTTTGAGTTCTAGACTCAACAACCTGTAAAACACAGCAGGTGCTTGTGCATGTGTGCCCAAAATCCCAAGGAGGAGAATGAAGGGGAAGGGATTATGGTGTGGTGCAGTGTGGCCATCCTCCTGGGAGGGTAATTTCTCATTTTCTATCTCTCTCCAGTAAGCATACACACCCGATGGCAAAAAAATCTAAAACAACAGCAAAAGAAACACACAGGTATTAATCACATTATCATATAGACATCATAATCTGGCGCATATCAGGTGAAACTTTTTTCTGCAGAACCCAGCAGCAAGATATGACATGAACTATAAGAAACTAGTATTTGGGGAACCAGTAGTTAGTGTAATGGCAATGTCGCTGGACTCCCACGTAGTCAACTGCGGTTCGCGTCCCGGACCCGGTGGCTTAAAACTCACACCGGGCGCGTGCCCAAGATCCCGAGAGGAGAATGGAGGAGAAGGGATTGCGGTGTGACCTTCCCCCCCTGGGGGGTGATTTCTCGCTTTCTGTCTCTATGTCTCTCTCTGTCTGTCTGGAAAGTGCACATGCCCTATAGCGAAAATCTCTCTCAAAAAAAAAAAAAAGAAAAAAAGAAACTAGCAGTTGGCATTCTTAATTTTTTCAGTAAAATTCAAGTTTGATAAATGTATTTTAGGTTAAAGTGATGAAACTTCTTAAATCAGATATGTTCAGTTATTTGGCCCAAATAAAAACTGTGTTTTGATAATGGGAAATTAAAACTTTAAATTGTTAGCACCTACAACACCCTTTTCCCCAAAGTCAAAAATATCTAAAACAACAGCAATAGAAAAAATAGAAAAAATATGCACAAATTAGTTTTCACACATTGAACAAGACAATTATTTTAATAATTCTAGGTATGTTCTATAATAAGATTATATTCCTTAGAAACTGTTATGTCTACTTTTCAAATTCTACTGTGAAAAAAGACTGTAATTTGTTTTCATCATACTAGAACCACTATTTCCTTGAAATAGCAAATTTAAAGAACTGATATTGGAACCTTGCAGTTTCAGGGCAGTTAAATATGTTGAGTATGGTCTCAAATAACAGTCTGGTTTATGTTACCATGGCAGCACTTCCTTTCACTGTGTCTGCTCATGAACTATCAGAAACAGATAAAACTATGTATTTGCTAAACTATGTTTTAGAGTGCATAGCAAAAAGGAACTTAATTTTAACTTCTCAACTAAAGACTTTACCTCTGCATTACTGGGCTTAAATGATGGAACACAAAGAATTCTAGAAATATTATTTTAAACTAGATTCACCTACAACAAAATAAATATTTTGTGCAATGGAAACAGGAAATGTGCCTTCTCTCATTTTGCCTTTTGGAACTCCAAGTCTTCTTTACTTAACTTGGTAGAGAACCGCTGAAGATTTTGAAGAAATTAGAAACATTGTAAGAGCTGAACTTTAAAAAAATGTTTCTTAAAGAAGTTGTAAAGAACAGATTAGAGAAAAGGTAATGTTCACCATTTCTGTAATGTTTGCAGGTACCTGCCCTATACATTTTAGTAGAGTTGCCCACCTTATCTATCTTTTCAGTGCTTTCAGAACCACTGAATTAAAAAAAAAAAAAAAAGAACTGATTAAAATTGTATTGCACTAGGCAATACATGTTTCTCAGTTAAAATCTAACCGTTAAAATGTTTCAGTTGGGTTTTATACAAATTTAGAAAAATAGATGTCAGACATCAATG